ACACACACACACACACACACACACACACACACACACACACAGAGAGTTTGCACGCCAGCACCTTCAGCTTAAAGACAAGCTGTTATCACTTTCATTGTACAGTGCCTCTGTTAAACTGCATTACTTCCCAAAAGATATGTTTAGCGCATAACAGATGGTGAAACAATATGTAACAGAATGACACGCTTCTATAGCAGCTACACAAAACTATAATTATATTTACACAACAAAAAAATATCCCCAGAATGAATTCAGTGAAATGTATAAATATCCAAACTTTGCAAGAAATCGTTATAAGAGTAGCAGCAGGAGYTTTAGTGTAAACAGCTCAACCATAAAATGATATTTTCAAATGATTCATTAGGCCTTTCACAATGTGTTTAGGATGACAGTACTATTACCACCCTCTGGAAATCACAAACAGCCGTTCCCATTGTCCAATATTCATTTACACTGAAAAGCTCCATTTCTCTGGGAGGTAAATGCTGAGAGGTTACAGAGGCTAAATTACACCCAGTTCTGTATTTATCCAAGACTTTTAAACAGATCAATCATCAATCACCTGAAGAGAAGGCGGTGCCAGACGAGGCAACGCTGAGTGAGGAGAAAAAAGGAAGAAAATGAGCTCCAGACACAGAGAAAAATTAATGGCTACAGTTATAAAAAGAGGAGAAGATTAACCTCCTTTGAATGAGATTACTGGCATTATGATGGGCCTTTAGACAGGTGTGTGCAAGTTTGTGGATGTTTGTGTAAGTGTTTGCTTTTTTTTCTTTTCTTTTTTTTTTTGTGTATAACGATGTGCATAATGGCCCTGTATATTTTTAGCAAACACTCAAAAGGTTTTTCCTGGAAATTGCGCATGAGAAACTGCTTTTATCTGCCAGGAAGTCTGACTTATGGAGCCCTGATTTAAACGCTGGAGCCGAGGCAGAAACACAGAGCAGCGTTGGTGTGTGACTACAAGGCTTGAAGAATAACTGTGGAGAGAAACTATGCAAATGAAATGAATAAAAACATAAAAAAAATACTGAACTGTGTGAACTAAAAAAAAAGGCTGGCGTTTTAAATGTAAATATTTCAATGCAGCTTCACTTATCTGTTTTCAGTATAGTTACCACCCGACTGATTCCACAGAACATCTGAACTCCATTACTGCCCCAAGAAAACGGCTCATATAATAAATAGGAAGAAGTAAAAACCTAAATATGTATCACTCTTTCAAACTGAGCAGTGTGTTAATGACGGAGTTCAGTGTAGACAATTTACAGGTTTTTACATACTGGGTGTGCAAAAAACAACCAAACATTTTGGTACTGATAAAGAGCTTTAGCTCTAAAATAGGAAGTGAACACTTGTGGGATTCAGTCACTAATGGCAGCTGTATAGAGGAAAGCTATAATTACAACTAATTTAACAACACATCTCTAAGACAACACAGTTTGTGTTGGCAGTAAAATCACACTTCACCATACAGAGCACAGGAATCCCTCAAGGATGTGTATTTAGTCCTTTCCTATTAGTTCAGATGACAAGGTCATTATGTTTGCTGATGACACAACAATTGAGAATCCCATCTAAAAGCTTTCGGGGAACGGTTCCGGTGATATATCAACAGGGTGCGACTAGTGGACAACTCAAAATTGTAAGAAAACAAGTGATTTTTTGTTGTAGTATGACTGAATTTTAGGTCTTTGTGGCCAGTGAGTCGTGAGCCCAAATGAAAATTATAGTCTGCTTTTATAGACAGGGCTTGCAAGCTTTCATTCTAATTAGAGCAGAGCTGTGAATTATTTTATTGCCCACTTTTACCACCATCATATTTGCCTCAGCACATCTTGTACTCACGTTTGAAACTGCCCCATTTATGATTTAATCTGCTGGAGTACACTTTAGAATTGAAGACAGACAGATTTTGACTTAATCGCACACATTTATATAACGTGCCGTACTCAGACGTCAAGACTGCATGCCTCCGTGACACACGTGAGGAAACTCAGAACACACCTGGCTAAGAAACCTCAGCAAATAATTAACATCCTCAGAAAACTGAAAGCATGTGAGAATCCTCATCCCATCTTTGTCAGTTTTTAAGTCCTGTTCTTTTTTTTTTTTTTTTTTTTTTTTGTGGATGGCAACAGACGGGAAACCTTATACTTTGATTACTGCAAAAAAAAAGCTGAGGAGCTAGATTACTCACTTGTCTGAGCATGTGTATATGGATGCCTGTTATTTTTTCTAGCTCTTACCTCAGCGTCTTGTCTCTGTAAGCTGTAGGTTCTTTGCAGAGCACGCAATAATGCCACACTTAGCTCCGATTCTTCCAGCAAAAGTTCCAAAAGCATCACCAGCTGGTCTGACGTCAGCTGAGGAAACAGAAAAAGTTCATAATATTAATAAAGGCCACCCTCATAAAACTTACTTTTTCCTTGTATTTTTAATAACACGTCTGTGTCACATTTTTCTTATGCAAAGCAGCAGTAAACAAGCAAAAGTGTCTAGACTCACAGGCTTAATTTAAATATTGCTCACATTCAAATTGTTTTCTACAAGTTTAATTTTCTTCTCTGTGCTGTGACAGCCTATATGAAAAAAAAATCAATAGAAATCAAGCAATTAATCAAGCCATTCAAACAAAGGACCAGGTGGAAAAATATAACAGACTGGAGAGTGTAATTAAATAAATATGGTAAATCAAGTGGATCTTGTGCTTCTGAGAAATATTACAAAACGGGCATAAATTAAAGTAGATGAAGGGGAAATATTACATTCTGAAGCTGAGAAAGAGAAAACGGTGAGACAAAGAGACAATGTTGTCTTTGTAGATTTCGAACCAAAGAGGGACGCACTGTTCAGGAACACAGCCATAAAAGACCCGTTTGTTTGAACATTTGCGCATTGTAAGCCGTATAACAGACCAGACTACAGCCATTTCTGGGATTCAAAACTGAGGCGATAAAAACCAAGTATTTTACGCCTTGCCGTTGCTCAATAACACTGATCACTCTATCCTGAGGTGAATCAGGAGCACACAGCCCTTTTTTCTTCTGATGGAAAACATCTTCAGGGACAAATATTCTGGGAATCCACGTGGGCAGCCGCATGAGGAAGTGGCTTCCTTCCTGTGGGGACAGCTGTGCCCAGCCTTGCCTGCCTCTCGGCTGGGTACACCCAACACTTTTCCTCCGCTCCCAGCCTGGGACACAATTAATGGCTCTGGGCCCCGTGGAGACTGACGTGAAAATGAGCATGAAGTTTGTGTGTAACTGAGCAAAGCAGAGTGTGAGAACACAAAAAAGACAAGTGAGGACCAAAGAARACATCCTACTTTACAGATCGTAAAAAATACTTTCCATTTTGCCAGTCATATTTTTCACATTGAAAGAAATCTATTCTTTCGGAGTTACATGGCTGTTGAAGAAACAAACACCCAAACTCGAGCTGGCAAATCATCGACTCGAACTCATACATGTCAAGCCCCTCGGGTATTTACCTGTAGCATGACCCTCAAAAATCCGTAATTTTTAGAAAAAATCCATATGGAGGCGGGGCTGTTGACCGTGGGGGGACAGAACGAGAGTCGGAGATAACAGCAGAACTTAGAGTGTGTTATGAGATGGTTATTTCATTTTATTCACAGTATTGTTTGAGACAAAATAAATTAGAAGCTGAGTTTTTGAAAAAAATTGTGAGATTTGAAAAACAATCTGCGATTTCTCTATCTGTCCATCTGCAAAATGGGGGAAAATCCATGCAATTTATGGACAATCCGAACAGCTCGACGTGTTTGCAAACTCTACTACAACTGCTGCCATGCACACAAACTCTGATCATCCTCTGTGGAACATGTGATATCCCGTCTTTTTTTTTTTCACCCTCAATTAACTCGCCCTCTTTATTTTTTTATTTCTCCTCCCCACATTTTGTGAAGGTTGAGTGTTTTTCTGAAGGGCTGTCTCCGTCTCCAAAGAGTTTCTTTGGGGCCCCATCCATGATCCTTCTCAATCTCCTGCTCTTTGAAAAGTAATGAGTCTAAACATTAGAGCACCACTCTCGCAGACACACACACACACACAGCGTTTCTGTGGTGACTGGGAGCTCCTGTTTTGCCTGTATGCATTTATGTTGCTATGGTGGAAATCAATACGTCTGCACCAGTGTCTCCAAAAACAAATTCCTGGTCAATGATGGTCCATTTGAAACTAATTTGTGTCATTATCCAGACACACATGGTGTACATATAATAGCAAACAGGGCCATGGTTGTCTCCATCAAAAAGCAACATGTAATTTCCCCAGTGTGTGTATGTGTGTGAAGGTTAGTCTGTCTGTTAGCAAAATATCTCATGAACTTTGTGAAGTCATGTCTGGTCAGTGATGCACTCAGAAAGACAAGTTAATCAGGGATAAAAGGATTCAATGTCCAAATCTTCTAGCCAAGTCCTACCAATAGGGTTAAAAAACTGAATGTGTATTTGAGCTATATTTGAGCTTTGTCATCACAATGTATGTTTGTGCAATGGTCACATCGCAGATCTTGTGACGTGGGAGGCAAATTAAATCAACCTATAAACCACAAGTCACTGAACTAAATGGCTGTATGTTAAAGTTTTTATTTTGACGGGTTGCCTCTGTGAGCAGAAACGGCTGCATGCGACAAGGATCTTGACAAAAACGAGGAAGAAAAGAGGTAAAATATGGTTTTGCACGAATGCTAATATTAAAARGTGAAGGAAACAGAATCTAAGATAGACACAGAGGGAACACATTAGGTGGTAAAACACAATTCATGTTTGCACATGATAGAAGGAAACATATTCAGGCCACAGCACAATCAAAACAAGCAATAAAAAAATAAGAATAACTCAAATACAGACAAAAAAACATGCTTGTAACCCAAAAAATAGGTAAGATCGGTTCATTGTTAAGATGGACAGAACTTAGTCAACTGTTATTGTTACTGATATCACAATACACTACATCGCAGGGTTAGAAACAATCTCAATGTCAGTTTCCAATATCGTGCAACCCTATTTCACGTTTTTTAAATTTTCTTGGACTCCAATAATGCAGCTTGTGCACTGATGAGCTTATCTGAACTCCATCCGCACTGAGTCCTAAATATGTATTTTAATTTAGCTTGGGGATAATGAATGTGTTAGTCCAAGGATGAGACAGACGAGGAATAAAGAGACCAGCTGGTAAAGCTGGTATGGATGGCACATTTATAAACAACTCAAAATACACTCACACACAGAGTGAAACACACAAACACAGCACTATGTCATGACTAGGTCACGAGTGACTCCAACAATAGCGTTGAAGGATAGAAAGCTAAACATAGCCCTCCAGCAGTGATTTATGTGGAAAGATGCACAATGCAGGATTTGGACTTATTTTAATGTTTTACTCCTCATCAATGCCGTTTCTTTAGTTGCTTTAGCTGCTTGATGCAGACACYTAGTTTGACCCTTCTGGAACAGAAAAGTTGTTTTTCTACAACCACAAAATGAATCATTTATTATGGGATAAGAGGCTACACAGTTTGCATAAATAACTTGTTGCCAGTGGAAACATTAGTCACTGCAGTTTTCCAGTGAGASCCCCGGCACTTATTTGCTTACTTAATTCCAGGTGCTGATTTATTTCTTTTTTTGGCCACACAATATGCATTCAGACCAATAAAACTCCTATGAATGTTATACATATAAAACAACCGACACAATCCACTCGAGCACAAAGCACTGACATGGGTCTCTTTCACCATCTGTATATTGGGTTGAGCTTTTGCGAGGACCTCTGGGAAATATGCTGCTGAAACGTCCCCTCGCACACTGACCTCTAAACCTCTACAGAACAATGACACACACAGATGAATGTGGATGTATGCCTAAATACGGACTGTTTGCTTAAGTGACTGACAGCTCAATGAGACCCAGCGATGGCAAACACAGGATATGATGTCTATCGAAAACTATGAATAAAGTATATTTAGTCAAGGGTGTGTGTGCGTGTTCGTGGGTTTGTTTCCTCGTCGGGAGCTTTTCTGGTATAATCACTGACCTCAGGCCCTGCTCGATGAATGCCAGTCAACGCAGTATCCTAATAAGGGTAGATACTCACGCATGTGTGGCTCTGTGGGCTCCGCTGTGAGTGGGAAGAGTCGAGAAAATTTGAGAAGAGCGAAGAGAAAAGGAAAGGCAGCTGCGTTTTGTGGGCGCCTGTTTGCGTGGGTGTACGGATGAGTGTGGGTGTACGGGCCCAAAACCAACTGCTGAATATCGCGTTCACAACAAAGAGCGAAATTAATCCGATTGGCCGCTTGGACGAACACACGGACGGCACGAGTATTTGCTTCGCCGTGGCGTTCCTCCAGAAGACGAGTCGAGCATTAATTATGACTTAATTACATGTCCTCTCCGTGTTGGGGTTAGGACTAGTGTTCCTCATTGAGCTATCAGTGAAGAAGTCTACCTGAAAGCTTGTTTTGATCATTTGTATAAAAAAAGAACAATGGACTGGAGAGGAAATACCTTTAAGACATAAAAAGTGAACCTTAAAATAATGACTTTTCTCTCCAAAACTACAGATGATGTTAAAGCCATAAAGCTTCTTGAGGTAAATTTTTGACTTGTGATATTATAAACACACGTTAAATTTTACTAGAACCGACTTGTCTTTAAAAGAATACAGATGTTTTTTGGTAATACCTTATCCTTACCTTTCCCGCCACTGGGGGGGAAAACGTCCTGCTTGTTTAATCACACAGAACTATGAGAGCTGGAGACATTGACTAACTGTGACATTATAAAACCAAACTGTAATTTCCGAGAGGCCACTGAATCATTCGTGCGTGCGCGTGTCTGCGTGTGGTGCCATTCAGTCACTCGGCTGCCTTTTATTTCTGCCTGACCGCGGGCTCGTAAAAACACATTCTGGCACCGACAGCTAAAGGCCTCGGCACACACCTCAGGTACTTAGATTTCCTTCTTTCTTTCACACAAATCTTTTCCTTTCTCTCCGCTGTTGCTCTGTCTCCATGACTGTCTGCCAGCCATCTCTGTACCAACTCCTTTTTTAGTTTTTCATCAGGGGGTGGAGGGGGGTGGGGGAAACTCTTGTGTCTGGCTCGTTCAATTAAAAGACCCTCCTTTGCACCCTTTTTGCATCCTTTTGTCTGCCTTTTTTCTGCACTTGAGGGCCAGAACATCCATCAACTGAAACTGCAGTGGAAGGCCAGGACAATRCATCAAACTGAATTTATTAAAGTGATAGTTTTTGTTTTGTTGTTTAATAGGGCTCTGTGGAAAGGTTACGTTACCTGTTGTACATAACTCTCTGAACAACCTCCTGAACAGACTGGCAAA